GGGTTGAGGGGGGGGCTAAGGGGAGGGGCAGGGCGCTTCGTGGGTTGGGTTGGGTCTTGAGGGGTCGGGCTGCTGGTGTAAGGATGGGGTTGCAGGGAGTCACGGGTGGACGAGCAGCCTGGAGGGGTGCCATGCCGGGGCCGGGCAGAATCAGGGTTCTGCGGATCAATCACAGGGTGGGGGCCTCTGCAAGCAGAGTTGCGACAAGCAGCACGGGCAACCCCCGCACCTGGCCCTTGCCATGAGCCCAGGGTTTCTGCACCACCACCCCTGCCATTTCATGTGAGCGGCTGGCAGCCCACGGGCGCCTTCACTCCCCTGCTTTCGGGACACCCCCGCGTTCACAGTCGAGGGGGTTGTGTACGTGGTCGACTCTGGCGTGGTCAAGCAGAAGCATTACCACCCGGCCAGCGGCATGGACTCGCTCGACGTCGTGCCCATATCCCGGGTGCAGGCCACGCAGCGCGCTGGCCGCGCCGGCCGCACGCGGCCGGGCAAGGTGCGCAGGCTCACGCGAGTATGTGGTGCAGGCTTGGGCGGAAGGGCGAGCAGGTGGACGGACGGGGCGGCGAGGCGCCGGGCATGAGGAAGCGGCTCGTTGGGCGGAGCAAGCGTCTCAGCAGACAGTACCTTCCTGCAACGTCACTCTGAGGTTTATGGCTGGTGACCGCTTGTGCCCAGCCCTTTGCCGACCTCCGCTTTCCCACCACACACGCTCTCGCACTCTGCTCCGATCCCGAAATCCGTCCACCATCGGCTCGTACCGCCGCCCCCAGTGCTTCCGGCTGTACACGCGGCTGTACTTCGAGTCCCAAATGCCGGACGCGGCGCTGCCCGAGATCCAGCGCTGCGGCCTGGCGGGGGCGGTGCTGCACCTCAAGGCGCTGCGGCTGCCCCTGGACGTGCTGGGGTTTGACTTTTTGGACCCGCCGTCAAGGTGCGCGCGTCCTTGTAAGTAGTTTTGTGGGGATGGGAGTATATGTGTGTGTTGACTGTGTTGCTCTGTGTGTGTGCATGTGTGTGTTTGTAGCGGTGGATGTGTGTGTGTGTTGGTTTGTGTGTGTGTGTGTGTGTGTGTGTGTGTGCGCGCGCGCGCGCGTGCATGCGCAAACGTACGTGCACACAAACACACGCCCCTCCACACTCCACACCAATTCAACCCGACGTTTGTCTGCACATTCCTATCTTCCCAAAGGGGTGCCCTGGAGGAGGCGCTGCGGCGGCTGTACATAACCGACGCCATTGACGCCGACGGTGACATCACCCCCCTCGGCCGCCAGATGGCCAACATGCCGCTGGAGCCGGACCTCGCAAGGGCGCTGCTGGCGGCGCACAAGCTCAGGTGGGCAGCTGCCGGGAAGCTGCTGGGTCTGGGGTTTGGGTTTGCAGAATGTCACACCTGACACAACCAGGAGGCATGCCTGGGATCAGTTGTGTATGCTCAAACAGCTGGTGGTCGTCATTCAAACCTCCGCTTGGGTGGTATAGTGTTGTTGTGCTATTGGTGAAAGTGGTGCGGCAAAAGCCGGGCCGACTCGCAAGCACCCAGGGCGCTGCCCGGTCCCCCCTCAAGGGGACCGCCGGCGCAGCGCAGGCCGGGCCGCCCGGCGGCGCGCCCCACCGCCCCGCGGCCCGGCCCCGCGGGCGCGCGGCGCCATCGCGCGCACGCGCGCCCGCGCCGCCGAAGGTCGGCGCCTGGGCAGATCACCGCATGCAGGCCTGCTCAGGTTTCCCTGCCCCGAGCAAACAGGCAGCGAGAAGTATAACAGGCCGACAGATCATCCCCTCACCCTTCATTTCGCTCGCCACTTGCTCGTCACATACATGCCGACACACCCCCGCGCCTCAGCCCCTCCCCTGCCTGCACCCTTTCCTGCACCTGCCCCCTCCTCAACCCACTCGCCGCGCGTCGCGTCAATATGATCTTGACCCGTAACCGCGATCTTAACCGACTGCGCCCCGCGCGCGCGCCGCAGCTGCCTCGATGAGATGGTGACGGTGGCGGCCATGCTGTCCGCAGAGCACGTCTTCGCCGGCGGCCACGGCCCGGACGTCGGCAACGGCCTCGCGCCCGGC